ACTAGAGAAACTTGCATAAATATGAGATCTATAGGCAGCCTAAGATCAGCTGACAAAAAAGAAGAGACTTCTCTTACCGACCGGATAGAAAATGGAAATAAAGTGAATTTATCTTTAACCCCTCATGACCTCGAAACTATGACTATCTTTAAGAAAGGATCAAATTTTACACTATGAAATTAAATAAAACGAATCAAAGATATTTTAGAAGTAAAAAATAACTGTTCGACTTTACCAGAAAAATAAAAAATTGAGCTTGAAAAAGAAATCATCCTTACAATCTTTGCGCATAAAAAACCAACATGTAATACCCACGCAACGAAAGCACAACGAAAAAAAAGAATGAATGGATCTTAAAGCACAATAAGGACATGCAACAGTATTGATAAACAGAAAGGAAGAAACCGAGAAAATGGAAAATAATCTCCGAGAAATGAAGGCTTCTCCACTGTTGAAAAACTGAACAGTTAAAAGTAAAGGAGCATCCTAATAAATGCCGAAGCAAATAAATAACTATAAAGAATAGAAAAATAGACAAGGAAATTACTAATGATAAGAGATATATTACAAAACTTACCTAAAATACATAAAAAGATACCTCAGCCTCAATGTAAAAAAAAAGTAAATAAGACTATAGAATACAATGAGGAATTCATACGAGTTTTGCCAAAAAATAAGAAAATCAGATTAGAGATAGCTATGGTAACTTTGAGGTACAGTCAATGCACACCATCTCAGAATAGAAAACGCTCACAGCACTATAGAGATCAAGTAAAATGAAGGCAACAATCTGGAAGCAGATATAATCCGAAAATAGTATCAGACATAAATTGATCAACCAAATGAAAATAACTACTTAAAGAAATATTCATTCAAGATTATCAGATAGTTGGAAAAAAGATGGAAAAGAATTTCACAACTTTACCTCAGCCGCCAAAACCAATTGATATATATGGATGACTACTTCACACTATGGTCGCATCGAACGCAAAATGAAATGGCTTATATCCAAACTATCAGTTCTAAATGAAGCCAGATACAGCTCTAGGGAATAAGAGAGAATAGAATAGGGATGGGAAGGAGGATAACTGGGTGATGGATCAGAGGCCTAGGCATAAGAATCACAGTTTTTAAAATCTTTAAAATGTAGTAAGCGAGGACCTTAAATAAGGCATGTAGGAAACCAAGGTTGATGGGGGCTTAATTAATGTGTGTACTAGGCCCGTACAGCCGACTTCTGAAACCTGTGGTGAAGGTATTATACTTCATTTTTGGTTGCACGGCCGGTATGTTTCTTTGTATTACTCGGCTTGGGGAGCCGATGTTGAGGAATATTCTAATCAATTTGTCCAATTCTTTATTCGAGAATTTCAATTCGTTAAACACAAGATTATGACGATCATGCTCCTCATTATTCCTATTATTAACCTGTGGTTGTGATGGGATACATGCAGTACGTAAACGATTATTTCGCACTTTTGCCACATAGAAGAGAAAAACTGGAAGATTTTCTGAAATTTACAATTCATATTAATGAAAAATTAAATTCACGATGAAAATAGAGGAAGGTGAGCGGTCACCTTTCATGGATGCTGGAATGATTCGCTCTAATGGGTCCCTCGAGAAGAAATTGTTTGTAGAGAAGTCTTATACAAGGAAAACAGACTTTCCAGTCTCATTACAACTACAGGTTAAATATAGGGGATAATGAGGGGCATGATCATCAGAAGCCCACATTTAACGGGTGTGGAATTCTGGGATGAATAATTGGACAAATTGACTAGGATATTCCTCGGCAACGGCTACTCAAACGAAGTAATACATTGCTAGATACGGGTCGTGAAAAGTCGGTGGCAGAACGGAGAGTAAGAAAGAAAATTAAGGATAGAGAAGGATTCACAAAAGTGGAAATGTCTACCTTCCTGTGAATTAACTTAAAAACTACGGCCTATACTAAGAAAATGAAATATTCGAGTGGCAATGAAAGAAAAAATAACACTATTCACAAGTCTACCGATGTAGCCTAAGGGGTAGAATAATTGGATTGTTCAGGAGTTTACTGCATATCATGCGGCATCTGTGAACAGAATATATAATCGAAAAAGGGAGAAAATCTGCATAAGAATAAAGGAGCACAAAAGATTCGACAGGAAAAAGTATACGAAAAGATCAACACTGGTTGAAGACATCGCACAGACTGGGCCTCAAACGGTGAAAATACAAAGAAGTGGAAGATTGGGGAGGCCACTGGCATCCATAGGTAAAATCTAATGAACAGGAGATTGGAGGAAGGCAAAGTTAGAGATAACTTCGCCTACTGCTTATGCAAACTCGAGGAAAACACGAATAGAGGAAGAAACGCGAAAAGGAGATGCTTGGATCAAGGATCTATAGTCAACTAGTTAAAATGGTTCGCAAGGAAGGAGGGCGGAAATTTCGGCAATCAAGCAAAACCTTTCTCAGTTAGTGATGCCTGTTCGAAGAAACTTAGGTGGCAATTATTACGAATAATGTGGCATGAGAACGCAAGAAAAGGTAAGCTCTAGAAAGTCTACCTTTCTCTCTGAACAAATTTTATAAAATGAGAATATGAAGACCAAGATGGTGTGGCTTTTTATGTGGTCTCAGTCTCCTTTCGTTGTAAAGAGGTTGTTTGACCATGTTATCGCAACTTGGTCATATTGGTAGGGAGACCTAAAGAAACGCACCTAGTCCGAAGTCCGTTGTATGCATGGTAATTTCCAATCGGATCGTGGAGGTGGAACATTACCAGACGTTTTGATATCATCGTCAGTGAGTTTTGCCATTCTTAGCAGCATTCTACAACTTGTGAAAGAGACAAGTAAAGCCGATACTTTGACCAAACGTATGCTAAACTTTTGTTATATTTCCTTCTTCCCCAAGCTATTCATATTTCCTATACCCTCGTATCACGCCTTCACTGTGACAATATTTTTTCCGTGCTTAGTTATATTTAGTGTGATGTGCCCTTTCGAGCGGCTTTAAAGAGAACCCTCAACACTACGCTGGCGTTCTCACCCCCCTTCACCCTTAATGCTAGGAATATTTATCAGTTTGCCATATCGTTACGCAGTCCTCATTCCATATATCTTATCACTCTCCCTTTTGCCCCGTAGGATCCGTCTGCCATCTCCCTGGTTCAAATATTCCCCTTGACCCCCGCCACCCCATCTGTGCTACTCTAGGCGTTACTACCCATCCCCTGCGTCTGACTAATTCGAGGCTAAAACCTGAGTAAGTCTAATGGTTAAGCCATTGCTACATGGACCACGTCTCCGGTCTCGGTGAAGATTAGAGCTACTTGGCTAACAGACGTGTTTGATCATAGACGTGATCCATGAAGCACGTCTATTTTTAGTCAACTATCTATAGCTTCCACCGTATCTATTTTGTTTCTAACCGTAATACCAAGTCTATGACTTGCTTGTGTGGCAATCCACAAACGTTGTGGTTAAACATTGAAACTAATCAAAGATACCAGTACTACAACATTTGTGGGTTGGCACACAAGAGACTAGGACATGGGAAGTCATAGACTTGGTATTACGGATATAAAAAGGATAGATGCGGCGGAGACTGGAGCTAGATGGCAGACAGTAGGCTTATTTTACCATAGGCCTGGCCGATATAGCAAAGACTTGACCAGGAGAATTACTGAGGCTATAGTCTCGAATTAGTCACCGATACGCAGATGGATAATAACATATCGAGTAGCACAGCTGGAGTGGAAAGAATCGAGTGAAATACTTGAACCAGGGAGATAGCAGACGAATCCTACGGGGCAAGAGGAAGACTCTGATAAGACCTAGGGTAGGAGGACTTTGTTATAATATGGCAGACTAATCAACATTCCAGGCACAAGGGTGAAGTGAGGTAAAAACGCCAGTGTGAAGTGTGAAGGGTTTTATGAATGCCGCTTAAAGGAGCACACCACACTACATCTAAATAAGCACGGTAAAAATTGTAACAGAAGGCGTGATAGGAGGATATAGGAAATGTGAATAGCCCAGGGCAAACGGGGAGATACCGCAAGTGTTTAGCACACGTTTAGTCAAAGGATTATCTTCACTTGTCTCTTTTGACGAGTTGTTGTGTGATGCTAAGAATGGCTAGATTCACTGACGATGCCGGCAAAACGTATGGGAATGTTTTACGTCAAGGTCAGACTGAAAATTATCATGCATACTATGGATTCCGGACTAGATGCGTTCCTCTAAGTCTTCCTACTAATATGAACAAGTTGTGAAAACAAGGTCAAACAACCTCTATAAAACGAAAGTAGACTGCGACCACACTATCTTGGTCTTCATATCTTAGTATCTTATGGGTTTGTTATTGTGAGTCACACTGACTAGAACTCGGAAAATATGATGAGATGTTAACATGCAATCAACTTAAACAATATAGTTTCAATTTCGGAAGGGAATTAGAAAGATTAGACTAATTCAAAACTAAATTTAGATAAAGCCAAGAGCCTTTTGAGATAAAGATGCAGTTTATGTCAGACAAAAGGAATTATGAAAATAGGATTTTGCATAGTGTCACAGAAAATATTGATCAAGATAAATCATCTTTAAAAATTATTATGAAAGCAATGCTAAGAGTATGAGCAATGGGTGATTTAACTTATTCTTTTTCTTCGTCCCTCGAAAATGTTTTATGCTTTTTATCAGCCTTCGAGAATATTAATTAAAGCTCAAATTTTGCCACTTAAAACATAAATCAAAATATATCTCTATACGAATTATGATAAATTATTGGCCAGATTCTGAGTATCAATTATACATCATTCATCAAATAAAGTACATTGTCTGCTGCAAATTTCTTATATAGGGATAAGTCATTAAAAGGACTTTTGCTAATATTAAGTAATTTAGACATTTAGTATATATATATATTAATATTCTAAATCGTCAATTACAATTTGAATTAAGGATATGTAAAAATAAAGCATACCTTGCCCCCATGTTCGATATGGCCAGGTTTGAAAAGACGTTTGGAACCGTCTGACTTATCTACCATCCAAAGTTTTCGCTGCATTGCCCAGTCGTAGGTTCCTTGTTGCTGCTGATGCTGTTGCGAGAACAGGAGAGCAGCCGAAGCCATAGCCGCCTGAGGCGTAAGTGATTGTCCCTGACTGGGCAAACCAGATCGGGAAGTGACAAATGGACGAATGCCGGCAGTAGTCTGCATGACAGCCTGTTGTTGTTGTTGCAATGCAAATTGTTGTTGGAAGAGCTGATGCTGCTGATGCGGATTCATAAATCTGTTTGAATGAGCTTGACCATATTGGAAGTTCATCTGAGTGGTGAAACCGCTGCAAACGGGAAACATAGGCGCCTGCCAGGAAAGAAAGCACCATTTAAGTGAGGAATGTAATGATAGAGACCTAATAACAATATGTATCTATCTTATATCTCAAATAAGTAAAGAAAATTTGTCTAAAAGTGGGAAAAATACAAAACATCTGCCATTTGTTAACATTATAATGAAATAAATAGCAATTGCAATATGATATAAAGAATGACAGACAAACAAGATTAATATT